ATATATATATATATATATATATATATATATATATATATATATATATATATATATATATATATATATATATATATGTTAAGATGACTGCAAGAAGATATGCAAGACTTCCTGTCCAACATATTCACCATATGTTGTTATGCTGGCAGCTGTTACGTAGCCAGCAGGACTGCAGGCAGCACGATGCAATGTGCAAGCAAGTGTTCAAACTGTTTAGTCTCTTTTTAGGATTCTGCTCACTCATTATGAATACATGAACGGGATTAAAAACAGAGAGTACAGTTGTAACTACAAGTTAACATGCAACCATTATCAGCATGACATCTTGGGCTTTATTTGTTGATTTTTAAATTGTTTTCAGGTTAATAATGATTTCATTCTTAAAGGATTGTCTCAAACAATACAAGGTTAAAGTTACACTTCAAATCTTAAAATAAAAAAAAAATAAAAATCTAATATAGCATTGTTTAGCAATCTTTGTTGGGAATTTAAACTTTATTCTTGGTTTTTATTTCCAAAAAAAGATGTTTAAACTTTTTTAACAAATGAGGTGCCGCTAAAAAAGGAACCCCTGCTTCAAAACCTGACTCCTTTAAACTTGATAAGAAATTACAGCTACCAAACGTACATCCAAACGTCTTCCTGGGAAAGGCTTTAATTTCTAACAGGGTGGATATTGAGCTAATCAAACTCATTTGAAGAATGTTTGGAGGTCAGGATGACAGTTTACGACCTGAAAATTGAAACATTTTCCAAGCACGGTGGCGGCAGCATCATGCTGTGGGGCTATTTCTCATCAACATGAACTGTTACACTCTACAAATACGGGAGTACATATAAAAAAAACTGACAAAATGATGTCAGAAGCTGGTTAATGTTTACAAAAACACATGTTTGCTATATTTACCACAGGGTAGTGAAAGAATGTATGTATGTTTGACTCTTCAAAGCTACATTAAAATTCAGAGAAAGATCCAACCTGTGAATCCAATTCCATTTCATGACAATCAATGCATGTTGTGTCCTTCCATCCAAAAAAAGGAACAGCTAATGGTGATGATGACGGTATAGAACCTTTTTTTTTTATTAACATTAACAAATGTGCAGACGATGCTTATATATTCATCCTCTGCCCAGTTTAAACAACCTATCTCTGCAATCGCATAGCTTTACAATGTTATATCACCCTTTACTGCCTTGATGTTCTCTAAGCATCTAGCTCTACCCACAGTCAATCAAATTGGGCCACAGTCACAATGGTACTATGAAACTGTTGTGCAACATCAGACCTACTAGATTTAATTCCACTTCATCTAATGCTAACATCCACCCACCATGTATATGAAGGGCTCTGCAAACTTTAAAGCAAACTGTGGATAAATGAGTACTTACAGCCCACCATCATCATAGCGACAGAGAAAATCTTCTCTCCGTCTGTTGTTGGAGCAATGTTGCCAAATCCAATGGTGGTGAGACTCGTCATGGTGAAATAGAGAGAAGAAACATACAGGGTGTCTTTGCTAGGGCCGCCTTCCCACCGGCCTGTCCCACTGGCGTTATACCGGTACGGCTTTCCGATGCTGAGGGCGAGCTGGTAGAGCCAACTGTCTGTCTTGATGCTGTTGGTGGTCTCGTCAATGACCTCATAATCCCCAATGCTGTACCAGATGCAGGCGAGCCAGTGGGCCACCAGACCAAAGACACACACCAGGAGGACCAGGACGGCTGCTCCGTACTCCAAGTAGTGGTCAAGCTTCCTGGCGACCCGACCAAGGCGCAGCAGGCGGATCACCTTCAGGGAGCTGAACAGGCTGCTGAGACCCTGCAGGAATAAAGCAGACTCAGAATTGTATCTTAAGCTTTGAGAAACAAGGGGTTTCTTCATGAATTTCCTGAAATTAATTAAAATGTTAATCATATAAAGATTGAAGACTTCTTTATTTTCCCCATATAAGTATGTATAAGTTTCCTTGAGTAATAGAAACAGAAACGATAAATTCAACAGAAGTACGTTTTAATCAGCAATGATATGTACAAACAGTAATGTAGTCACCTGGTGAGCGCAAACCCAACATTGACTCTTTTGTTAACTTACATCAACACCTGTTGGCAAAATATAAATGTATCTTTTATCCTGTCTGCAGACATAAACAGCTGAGTCACTCATTGTGTTCTGTTGTCTGGGTCTTCTCATCTTATGTTTCTAATCGACCCATGAGTGTGTCTGGCCTAAAAGCAAGCAGAAAGATATTGATGCTCTAGAGTAATAGAGGCCCACAACTACCATACCACGCAAGATACCAGGTGCAGGCTATGCAAAGAGGCCCCAGAAACAATCCACCACCTCAGGAAAGGAATACATGGAATGTCATAACCAAGTGCCTGGTATAGTTTACAGAACCATCTGTGCAGAATATGAACTGGAGACCTCAGGTCAAAATTGTAGCCACCTCCTAAGGTGCTGGAGAATGACAGAGATCCTGTGGGACTTCCAGATATAATCAGACTAAATTGTTGTGCCCAACCAACTGGACATTGTTATAATTGGTAAAAAGCAGAGGACAGCCATAGTGGGTAATATGGCCATCCCAAATGATGGACACATCAGGAAAAAAGAATACCAAGGGCTCAGGGAAGAACTAAAGAGAGCCTGGAAGGTGAAGTCAACAGTAGTGCCCATGGTCATTGGAGCACTCGGGGCAGTAACCCCTACATTGCAGAACTGACTACAACAGATACCAGAAATGCACAGCTTCAGGCCTTTTTTTAAATTTTGGCCTTATTGTAGCTGTTATCATTAGTGTTGTTTTAAAATGGTCAAACAAATGTTTTAAGGAAGAAACCAAAGGGCTACAGATGTTTACATATTGTAATCAAACAGCTGCAACAGGAAATGCGGTGAGAAGTCTAGTACAGGCATTTTTCAGTTCAAGACAGAAATAATGCAAGACATTTTTAATTCAGTGGAATAAAAAAAAAAAATGTGTTCCCCGGAAGGAATTAAAGTCATAGCGAAACGGCCGTTCCAACCGTTGCATTTCCGAATTCTCCCGAGTGGTGCTTTACATGAGTGAATGAAGTGAATGTGATTGGTTGATCACCAAGGGGGCGGGATTGTTGTGGTGGAAGGTTCGCAAGCAAGTTTGGTTGTGGCCGGTGTCTCGGAAGCATCTTGCTAACCAGTTAGCAACTTAGTGCTAGTAGGTTCCCAATGGGAAATGACATTGGGACCAATTAGCGCTTAGTAACGGCACTGTCAAGGAACGCTATGGACAGCGGAAACATGCAAGAGGAGGAGAGTTTTGTGTCAGAGGTCGTGGAGTGTCTCTTTCGTCATGCATTTTGTATTTATTTTGATTTGTCATTTAAATATGATTTCCCTACGACTTTAAAGAAAAGACTTACTGGAAGTACGGAGTCTTCTGTCCGTGTGAAATTTCTGTGGAAATTTGAAAAGTCACGGAGATGACTTGCTGGGTAGGCAGGTGGGGTGACGTCCTACAATAGACGATAAAACAAACATGAATTAGGCTTTAAATGTTGTCTAAAATACCCATGAAAAATAAAACTTCTAGGGACTCCAGCCTTATATGTAAATAACTATAACAGCAATTTATTTTAATTAAAAACAACATATTTTAAACAGCAAAGTTACAAAAAAAATTTTTTTTCAGATTTTCCACTTTCCGACACATTTTTCTAAAATGTTCTTTTAAAAGCCTATTTTAGTCTGTAACTGCAGTGAACTGCGTTATTCAACGCTCTTGATGCAGTTTTCAGGCTTAAGCAGGAAAGATGACCTAAATCTGAAATCTGACTCAGTAAGTCAGGTTAGTTTCTTCCCAACCTTAAATTCAAGGCGAGTGCTCAAAGCATAATAAAAGCTGCCGTAATGAGCGCTGGACTACACTTCTGACAATATGTTGTTAGATGTGTCCTCAGTAGGGCAGAAACAATTCATTGGATTATTTGTGATTAATCGAGTATGGAAATAATCGTCAATTAATTTTAGTAATCTTTTAATTGTTAACCGGCTTGTAGAGACTCTAAAATGTGTCTTTGGCTGACAGAAGAACCCACTTAGAGCAGTAATTATACAAATATATGTAAAAAAAAATAAAAAATAATGAAATTGCAATTAAGATAAACATTTTGTCTGTCATTACGCTCTATCCAGAACTCCTCAAGAGGAAAAGTTTTAGTTTCACCTGGTTTAATTCTGTATAAATCTTCCTTAAGGAACTTTTTGCTATTATTGATTGATTAATTGCAAAAATAATTAACAGATTAATCAGTTTGTAAAATAATCTTTAGTTTGTGTTTGTGTTTGAATGTAAAAAAATAAAGAGAGGTGCACTGTAACCAGATGTTATGATTAGCCTAGCCCAGGCCAAAAACAAGACAATGCAAAACCCACTGATTTTATGATTTAAGTTGAGTGTAATTGTATTCTCAGGTGTGAGTTCTGAAAGATGGAAAAATGATTGCCACATAAGTAAAGAAAACTCAAGTTACCTCATCCACATTTTCGAAGGCATTGATGATGTCGTAGGGCAGGCAGGACAACAGATCAATGACGAACCACGTCTTCAGGTAATTCATCCGAATCAGCTTTGCGTCTGAGATGATCTCTCCAGCCGGCCCCACGAAGGTTGTGTGAAAGTTTAGGACAATGTCAACAAGGAAGATGACGTCGACCACACTGTCCACCACCAGCCAGGCCAGGTTGTTGTGCTTGGTTCTGAAGGAAACATTGTAGGGAACCATGATAGCAGTGTAGAAAGTGAGGATGAGGATGACCCAGTCCCATGTGGTCTTGAAGGTGCAGTAGTGGAGGATGATGTGTGGAGGGGTCTTAGGAGCCTCTTGCTTATATGTAGGGAGGATGTCCGATCCCAGCTGGAGAGCCTTTTAATAAGTAAGTAAATAGAATCTCATATTCAATATGAATGTTGGAGATGAATCTGGTTACAATTTAGGGAGTCGTTCTGCTCACCTCAGCCAGTCGGGAAGGCTTGTGGTTGACCTCAGGATTGTTCAGAGGAGCTAACTGCTGCACCAGGTTACGATTGTTGGTCAGTGCCCTTGTGAGCCTGGCAAATTTCGCCCAGCCTATGAATACAAAATATTTACATTTTAAATTTAAACATATTACAACCTTAAACTTCATTTTTTTTATGGTGATTTTATAAGACTATAGATAATAGGATGCTAAAGAAGCATTGTGTGTCTTTGTATTTATGACACTTTTTTTGATGCCCTTAAACAAAATCTTTTTGTCCTCATAAGCCATCTGATAAGTTAATAATGTCTAACTATGCATACTTTAACCTCAGAATAAATGCAGCCTTTTTGGAAATAATCAGCTTTTTTTTAACTCTGATGATTTCCAGATAAAACAATATCCCAAGTTTCAAACATCTCTGGGAGCAAAGTTCAACAACTGATATTTATCTTTTTGAAAATGGGAAGATTATGTAAAAACTATAAATATATCAAGATTTAAAACACACACCTGAAAAAGAAAGCATTTAAATCTAACACTCCCAAAGCCATCCCATTGTGAAGTACAATGGTGGCAGTATAATGCTCAGAGATAATAGGAAAAGGGCTGGAACTCAAGGCAGGGTTTTTAGATGAGGGGTCTGCTATCTGCAGCAACTGACTCATTAATCTTTATTAGCCGTCCACAGGTGTCTCTGATAACTGTGGCCACTGATGCTACAGAACTGAGCAGTGTTTTTAATAAAGGGAGGATAACAAAATATTGAATCATGTTTGCTCCAAATATGTTAATGAGAATTACCTGATCTAAATTTTTTGATGTGCTTTTTCATACATTTTTCATATAATCAGCTATAGCAACAATATGTGATAGTGTTTTCAAAATATTATATTTGCCTTAAAACCTTAAAAAATATAAAAACATGATACTATTTTATTTTACTATTTTTTATTTACTAATGTCATATATGACACAGAATTTTTCATGTAGGTTTGTGGCTTAAGATGTAATTTATTTATGAAAAGTGAGACAAAAATAGTAATTATTTCTAGTTCCAAACTCCTTAGAGGCTACAGAAGACAAATAACCTAAACATGCATTCAGATTTGGAAAGTAAATAGTAAATACATTTTATTTACATAGCACTTTTTTCATTTAAATGTATCAGAAAGCTCTCCAAAGTAAGATATAAGAAAAGGAACATAAGTGCATTCAAACAAAAAGATAGATAACAAATAATATGAGAGAACAAACAGATGACAGCACTACTCTTATTAACTAAAAGCTTGTTTAAAATGGTAAAGTTTATATTGCAGAATCTCAAACTGTTAAAGTGGTCGAGTCAAAGAACGATCGGGAATCTGTGGCCATGCTTGCAAAATGATGTTCATGGACATGATCTTGTCAATCTGACTGATTTTGAGCTATTTAGCAAAGAATAATCAAGAGTTTAGGTTTCTAGATGTGCAAAGGTAGCAGAGGCATATCCCAAAGGACATGAAGCAGGGACAACAGCATAAGGTGGCTTTATAAAGCGCTGACTCAGGAAAACTCAATACAACGCCCTTCTTTTCAGGTTTCTACTTCAGCATCGTTTAATTTACCTTCCTGTTACTCTAATAAAAAAAAAAAAAAAAAAAACTGAAAATACATTTAAATCAGAGCTCTCATCATAAAACTAGTGCGTTTATTGTGTGGAATACCTTTAAAAATCACTCTTCATATATTTGAGTGAGCTCATTGCTTAGGAGAGTGAGCAATGGATTATTTCTTCGTTTTCTGTATTACTGGTGTAGAACTTTGATCCATTTAGGCTTAGTGGAAATAAAAACTTTAAAAGGAACACATTTTGGTAGATAAATCACTGGATAACGTACTGAAAAAAATAATGCAACAGCTTTTGGCATTTACTTAATCATATTTAGTTACTTTAATACAATTGTTGTATATCCTACCCTGCTAACATGAAAAAATTGTGTTAAAGTAACACAATGATTAAGTAAATTCCAAAAATGGTTGCATTATTGTTTCAGTGAATAAATCACTGGAAAACAAATTAAACTATACAGTGTCTGATTTTGTAGGCCTGAAATAAATTAAAGACACTGATTTTATTGCAAAAGTTTTGCTTGTGGAATCACTTTACTTCATGGTCCTGAGTGGGTGAATACATTATAAGCTAACCTTGCCTTTGAGCTGAATTCTGAAGGTAATTTTTGCGTTCACAAATACATGAGTATCCATTTAGTCCTGCTTCAACCCCTCTACAACATCCAAAAACAGGTCACTCAGGTTACAGTATTATAGTTTAAGGCGGGACATATAGCTGTCAGTCTCTCTGATGACTTCACAACGGTAAAGAGAAATCCCAGGAGGGATGTTTTTCCGCCATCCAAAAAAACAGAGCAGGGTCGGCGAACAGATCAGAGTCAGAATCAGGAAGGAGAATGACTGAACCATCCAGAGGGGAGCAGGCAGGCAGAGGAGAAACGATAATAAGAAGGCAAAGGCAAACGTAACGTCCAGAAGGGGAAAGACGGGACAGAAAATATCCATGAAGCAAAACAGAGTTTGAGAATTGATGATAGTGGGGGAACAGAAAGAACGCTGGCCATTTACTCACACAATGGCTTTCTAGCTGGAAGGAGCTTCAATAAAAGGTGTCACATGTGGGAACTATGAGTGAGACTGGCAGGCACAGGTGTGCTGATTGAATGGTGAGATAGGTTAGCAGAATGAGAGATCATTAAGGGATGGTGACTCAGCTATTAATGGCAAACAGTGAGGATGATCTTAACCTTAGCGTTTAGCTCTATAGTCTGGGTGAACCTGCCTTTGTTTTAGGTTACTACTATAAAACCTGTCAACAGTACATTTTACTATTTTTTTTCCTTTTAGTCAGAGTGGCAAACTTCCTCCCCAAAGACTTAGTAAAGACCCCCAGAAACCCACTGTTCACTGACCTGAACACACAACACCTGGGAAGCTCTGTGCTAAACGCCAGCAGACAACAGCCTGCAAAGTCACTCATGTGCAGTCAAGAGGTCTGAATGCATCACATTTTCTGTCTTTCATTCAACTGAATGTGTTATTTTTTTAAGAGGCCTCACGTTTTGGTAGATTACTTACAGTAACCCATGATTGTTGGAGGTAAAAACTGGTTTGGACTCACCTCTGGCTGAATCATCTTCTATGGGCTGTTTAAAAAGTGTAATGTCTCTGAAGGTGCAGAGGAAAAGCACCACTTTGTCGTTTTCATTCCTGATCGGGGCGATCTGCATGTAAAGCCATATTGGTGTTCCTGTTGGGGAAATATTGCAAACAAATCAAGATTTAGTTTATCTAAATGAATCTAATGATTAATAGAGTTTTTCTTGTTTTTCAACGTGTCCATACGTACTGTTCTTTGCATATAGAAGCACCTCATGAAAATTAGACTCAAGGTTGTCAAAGGTTTGTCTGATTTTGTCTATAGTCTTTTTGTCGGTCAGGTCACCATACATGAAACTGCAGAAAAGAAAAGAGAGAGCAAATTAAAAAAGGAGCAAGACACTTTTTGATACCCGGAATAATAATGTAAAAATCCTCCTGCCTGGGTTTTATTGTGATTTTTTTTTAAATAAAGTTTAAGGAAAACTGAATTGAATTCAAATAGAATGTCCATCATTTCCTTTTCTCACTTATTGCTTGTATAACACTGATTCAGATGGTGGGAGGAAGCTCTATCAGAAAGCCACACAAGCACAAAACCGCCTCTTGGATGCAAACATTCGATCTTCTAGAGAAGTAAGCTATAGTGCTAACAACTGCACCGGCATGCAGCCATGTATATGCACATTTGTTAAACTGCTGTTTTTGTTTTTTTTTGTTTCACTAAAACCTGCAGTTTAACAAATCAAATGCAAAATATGAGCAACATCTGAAAGAAACAACATTATTTAAATTATTATTTAAAAGCACATACATTTGCAAATCATCTTCTGTCTCTGGATCCTGGTAAATGTTTCATTATTTATTTTAAATTAAATTGTTCTAGAGTTGAAAAAGGAAGCATTTGACATGAAAACATAAAAAACATTTTAAAAAAAGCATTTAATTGAACTATAAACTTTTTAAACTTTCCTCTTGATTCAAAATAATACATCCCAGCATAGTGCTTCTAATGGATTTTTCTAACTTTCCATTATAAATTAAACAGGGCATTACAAGGAAAAAAACTCAGCTTTACAATTTAAGTTTTGGCAAAGTTTTGTAAGCAAGAATCAACAAAAAATGTGAGCTATACATCATGGTGAAGACGAAAAACTTAAAGAAATAAAGTCAAACTGTCCACTCCAGCTTGACATTCAGCTTCATTAAAGCACAGATGGCCTCTTACTTGCATGTGCTGCTCTTGTGCATGACCTCCGCTCTGTGGTAGCCGGACAGCTTGCAGAATCCATCGTTGCTGTATACAACCGGCCAGTCAAGGATCTGTGCGTTCCCCAACAGAAAACTGGTTTCTGTTATAAAATAGTAGAAAAATTAGAAGTGAACATCCACATTACTCCTCCTGATCTCCACCTAACAGATCCTCCCCAGCTATAAAATAAACCCTCCATAAAACGGGCATGGAGTTGTAAATCATAATCACATCTCATCCCAACACTTCTAATTACTTAACCTGCCATGTTTAATGGAGATAAAAGGCTACTCAAGCTTACAGAAATAGTAATCTGAAGCTTCGGTGAGCAGAAATATTTGCTGATAAAAGGTTTACGTTCCAGCCTTAATGCAAATTAAATATTGATGGCAAGCCTAAAAGTTTCCAAGCCTGGTAGTTCAGAGGCAGGCTGCAGAAAGCAGAGGGAAAATTAGACCGTAGATGATGTCTATGAGTTATATTGCACAGTAAGGTGCTGATTTAACTAATTGTATAAAAAGATCCTCCAAATTACCTGATGAGGTCTGTATTTCTATTTGCAACTAAAATGAAGAGATGCAAACGCATACTGCAAGGCTTTTCTTCTGTATAGTCCAGCTTTGTGCATTGTCTGCATTTACAATAAAAAATATTCGCATGCATTAATCTCGAGTTTCCCATGAAGACTTTGTCTGCCAAAGGAAGTTGTAACAGCAGCATCATTAAAAAAGCATTACTGTAAGACATTGCTGGACTCAGGTGAACAAGTAGAGGCTATATGGGATAAATCACATTAACAGTCCCTTAAGTGGAGAGAAAGAAGCGCTCTTTTAAAAAGAGGCTGCAAGCTGAGCCTTTTTAAGTCTAGTGAGGTTCGTTTTCACATTGTCTGCGGGTGTTGTTAAAGAAACATAAAAAGAGAATATCAAAAATATGGATATTTTGTTTTTATAGACAATACTTTTATGTTTTATTAAATTAACTAATGAAAATATAGCATTAAATATAACCAGTCCTTGCACTAACTGCATTATGATATCTGTAACACATACAAAATAAATAAATAAAAATGGTGAAATGCTAATAAAGCAATCAGTAGATTGTGCGTCTAATTTCTGCGGCTTATGCTGTTGATCAAAGCTTTCATATAAGCAGAATAAATGGTTTTGTTTTAGTTCACTGTTCTCTCCCGGTTCGTTTGAACATTACAGCATTACATAATTATTCAGAGCACAAAAGTCAGTATCCGGAAAAAGAAAATCTGCCGCTTAACTCATAAAAATGTTTTATTTCCATGGAAATCTTTATATCCTAAATCCCCACACACTTACGCACTTGATAACAAATTAAGCAATGCAGTAAAGAACAAATAATTGACTAAACTTTGAGATTTAAAGTTTAAAACTGACCGCTGGAACGCCGGACGATGTTTTCCAGGAAGGTGTTCTGCGGAGCGACCAGCCCCCTCTTCCCTCCATGCATGGTGGAGGGATCCGGCCAGAGACTGGCTGATGCGCACAGATAGAGGAGCTGCTGCTGAGAGCTGGGCTCTGCTCACTGCAACTCTAACCACAACTATCAAGCTGGTCAGAGTGGGAACAACGAATCCGGTGAATGGTTTGAAAACAAAAATAAAAGCCTCATACTACAACGTTTTTTAAAAATAGTCTACATACATACAATTATCTATAAAAATTCAACAGCCTGTAAGAAAGCTTTAACTTGACCAAATTATAATCTTACAGATTTTCCACCAGGATTTAGACCTGTGTAAAATGTACAGGAACATCTGTGCGGAGTATGGGTTGGGAACACAAAGGTCAAAGTGGGAAAAACCTCCAAAGACAATGAGGAGCCAAGATCCTGCCGGACTTCCAGATACAGGCAGACCGAATGGTATTGGCAAACCAACCGGACATTGTGGTGGTGGACAATATGCAATATGCATTCAGTGATGCCTGTGGTCATTGGGATACTTGGGTTAGTAATCCCCAAACTGGAGGAGTGGTTACAGCAGATCCCTGGAAGTACATCAGACATCTCGGTCCAGAAGAGTGCAGTTCTAGGAACAGCTCGGGTCCTCTACCAGAGGACCCGAGCTTGGAGGAAAAAGGGGGGGAAGACCACCCACGATGGGTGAGGAAGATATATTAGCGTTGCGCCAAAGCAATTTTTTTTGCCC